TAAAAGTTACATTTATATTTGATTTGCCGTTTATTGAATGTTCTGAAACCAACTGTAAATGTACTTTTCTAATTTTCATTCTAAAATTTGGTATTTTCCATATATTTGTTTGGTTATTTATAAAATGACTTGTTCCTGATACATTTAATCTTTGGATTACTTTCATATGTGCATATTATGATGATAACAGAAGAACATTAGACAAAATCACCGATATTTAATAAGAAAATGAAGAGAAAAAAACAACAGCTGCTGAAAAATTAAAGATATTGTAAATACAGACAAATGGAGCTGTTAACAACATACAGAATACATAAAATACTTGATAATAGGAGAAAATTAGCTGCAACGGGTGTAATACCAATTACAAATAACAAATTAGGGTTGAGTTTACCGAAAGTACAAGCTGATTATAGCCGCAAATGTCAAACATGGAACAAAACATTTCGGTAGAGCAGTGTGTTGGCATGTTAGAGCAAGCTTTAGAAAAGTACATTTAGTTTATATTATGTTATGAATGCTACAATTTTTGATTAATATAAAACTACAATGAGTAAATATTTGTTTCTTTGGAGATTAATTGCACGTAATTATTAGAAATTTTTTTAGCAATTACCCTTTGATAGATTAGGGGATAGATTTGGCAATCGTCAAATCAGTAGTTGCCAGATTACAATATATGTTTGCAATTAATCTCGAAAGAGACAAATATCTACTCGTAATTGCTTCATATGAATTAAAAATTGCAGAATTCATAAAATAGTATAATTAAAATGTACTTTTTGAAAGCTTTATCTCTTTATATTTGTAGCATACAACACATGCATACATAAAAACATGCCAACACTGCGAAACCGAAATATTTTTGATATTTGCGGCTATATTCAGCTTGTACCTTCGGTAAACTCAACCCAAATTAGTTATTTCATTCAAATGAAATTATTGTTATGATTTGATGATGGCTTTGAAGACAAATACACATGTAGTGCAAGGAAGAAACGCGAAAAATAGTCTACTATATTGTTTATACGAAAGAAATGGAATATATTTAGTACAAGACTTAGGCAAAATATTCACATTTAAACGTAAAGTAAAATTTAACAAAACACAATATGAATTGTAAAGTATATTTATTATTTTAAATGGGTAAATCCAAAACTTAGAATACTTCAGATTTCCTATAAACACAGTAGACAATGTAATGTTTTCCAAAATGTTATTGCTATTAAAAATTTGTCAGAAAATAGATATTTATAAATAAAAAACTTATTTCAACATCAACTGATATATTGTTCCGAATCTATTTTCTTGTGGCATTTTAAAGTAATTACTATTTAAATGCGAATAAGCTACAATTAAAGGTTAAATTAAGTTTATTGATGTTTCAATTTTCACTTCGGAAATCGTTCTCAAAATACAAACATTAGTAAATTAAACAAATTTTGTTTTTTTTTTTGTTACTTGGTGAAAAATTCTTCTAATTTTTTAATTTTGTCTGACTCATTTATATTGACAATTCAGACATACATTATACATTTTAAAGTAGACGACTTTAAAATGATATTGCCAATATTGTTGAGTTGCGTCCCTGGGACGACTTTACTTTTAAGATAGTTCATTCGATTACATGTAATTACCAACATTCAAAACAACAAATACATTGAGATCTATTTTGTCTAAAACCAAACTTAACAATAAACAAGAAAGAACAAAGAATTGCATTTATAAAATACCTTGTGAATGCGATCAGTTTTATTTGGGTGAAACATCAAGGCCATTAAATGTTAGAAAAAGTGAACATCAATCTTATATTAAAAATAGATGTTTTATATAAGTCAGTAACATATAGATGTTACATCATTATGTTTTTTAAGTAACAAAGTTTTATGTTTATTGAAAAGTAACTAAATGCACGACCAAATACTTACGATGTCGGGATAGTATTATGAGCTTTTTTTCCGGTTTTTTCCCTCATAATTTACTATGGAATCACTAACAGGAGATTTGTACGGTCATCATGGCATGTGTTTGTTTTTTAAAAGACGAATTAAATGGTATGATTTTTTCTGACGGATATTCTCAAGTTAAAGTTGATTTCATGTAATCGAATGAACTATCTTACAAGTAAAGTTGTCCCAGGAACGCAACTCAACAATATTCGCAATATCATTTTAAAGTGGTCTACTTTAAAATGTATAATGTATATTTGAATTGTCAATATAAATAAGTTTTGGAGAGTATTTCTTCGAGAAAGAATTTTTCACCAAGTAACAAAAAACAAAATTGTTGTTTGTATTTTGAGAACGATTTCGGAAGTGGAAATTGAAACGCCAATAAACTTATTGTGGCTTATTCCATTTAAATAGTAATTAATTAACTGATATGATAGGAGCATATTTAAGGTTAAGAGGCATTGGGTCCATAGTGTCTAATCTTACATTTTTGTCAGATATTATTTAATTTTCGCAAAATTTGTGCTCCAACCGTTCGATTTACGTTTTCTCAAGAAATAAATTTTTCCACTAAAGCAATATTTTCTGAAAGCAGGTTTTGCGGGTTTTTGTACTTTATTGAGTGTTTCAGGTACAAAGAATAATTTGATTTCAGAAAATGGATTAACGATTTTATTTTTAAATATTCGTTAAGCAGAAGAAATTGCTATATAGTTGTCACCAGAAAATTCAAAAATTAAACTATTAATGAACTCTTAATGGCGCTTAATAAACATTTGTTTACACTCGAAATTAAGAAGAAGAAGAATACAAGAAGAAAGTTTGTTCTAATTTCTTCAGGAACCCTATTAATACCATGAGCTAAACATGTCAAATGAATCATTAAAATATTTGTAAATAGGTTCGTGCTCACCATATATGATACAGCATCAGACAAAAAAAAGCAAAAGCTTTTTGTGAAGTACAGCAGTAGAGCAAGAAGATAAAAGGTGGACGATAATTCCTCTTAACAACACATGCAATTGTTAAATAATTTGGTTTATCTACTTTTTTGAAGATATTAAGTAAGATTTTATTGTAAATGTTATAAATATTATAAATGTAAAACTAATTGTTTCCTATTTCGGATATATTTTTTGTTTGAAGGATAAGTATAAAGAATCCCCATTGTTTATTCTTAAGTCCTATCGCTCGGAAGATTAAATTTACCATACTTCTGAAGACATGAGCTGAAATTATTGTAAGATAGCTTCGAGAGCGATATATTAAAAACCATCAAAGTTCGACATAAAATCTTAATTAAATAAGTACATCCTGCTCTTATTTCATTTTTTCGACGTCGTTGTAAATGATTGTAGCAACTATTTTTTGACTTGTCCGCACTGTAACTTTATTTTTTTCTTTTTTATTTTGTGTGCAGCAGTTCTGATATTTGAAATTTTTTGTCGATAGTGACCTATCGCAAAAACATAACTAGAAGTATTTAAGCCAGTTCTACAATATGTACCAAAAAGTAAAAAAAAATGATCCGGTTGCGATAAAACAATATAATAATATACACCAAGTCACTCACGTATAAGCAGATCAAAGGTTATTTTTTAAACTTTGATAGTATACAAGGCAACTATCGAACACAGTGATTAATTAAATCTTGCCCAAGTACTTCGATCAATAGATCATCTTCATCGAAAGTACTTGGGCAAGATTTAATTAATCACTGTGTTTGATAGTTGCCTTGTATACTATCAAAGTTTAATTATTCGAACATTCAACCTTATATAGGGTTATTTTTTAGGTTTTAAAGCAGAAAAGTGAAAAATAAAATTGAATTATAATTTTTCTGCAAATGGAACATTAAACCTTCTCACGAGTCGACATAAAGCTCTTTGTATGGCTTAATCCAACGAAGAGCACAGTTACTTTTAGGAATTTTTTACGAATTTTAAAACGTAATTATTCCAGCACAAGCTACGAACACAACTAATCAGAACTTCTTCTTGTGGTGCCTATCCGTTTCGGAAGTTGGGGACCATCATGGCAATCTGTATTTTGCACACTGCTGCTCTGAAAAGATTTGTGACTGTTGTGTTGATCCACGTACGCAGATTTTTTAGTTAGGAAATCCTTCGCCTCCCTAGTTTTCGTTTTCCTTCTACTTTTCCTTGTAAAATTAATTGCAGTAACCCATATCTTTTGCTGTTTCTCATTCTCATTCGATTTCATTCATTTCTGTTTTTATTGTGGTTAACAACACTTTTCTTTTTTGTATTCTTAATAAAACGTCCTTGATTAGTAACGTGGTCGGTACCTATATCTTCAGGATTCGACGATAAAGCGACATTTCGATTATTGTAGGTGCGCCTGTGAGAGTCCACAACTCAACTCCGTACAACAGTATAGGAAAGATATAACATATTAGTGACCTGATTTTTAGGGGTACTGATAAATCATGGCATTTGAACAACTTAGCCATTTTTTTAAAGGAAGATCTTGCTTTCTATATCCTTTATTTGATTTCTATGGAATGGTCCCAATTTTCATTGACGTTCGTACCAAAGTAAGTGTATTTTTTTACTCTTTCTATTGGTTGAACACTCACACTAATCCTTGTCTGTCGATTTTCTAAGGTTATTAAAATGCCGAATATTATCTACACCTTCTAAAATTTTAATGTGACAACAGATTTATATTTCGCCATCTCATAAAGTCAATAAATGGTTTATATTATTATTATTATAGTGTGGAATACCAAGTAGATTTACCAGCACCATTTATTTCCATCCAAAATACGAATAAGTGGTATATCTCCCTGGTTTAAAGTGATTTTTATCTATTTTAAAATACCAAAAAAATTTAAATGGATTGTATCCAAATACGTTTATTAAAGCCTGGTTATTATACATCTCTTTCCTCCTTGAACTACTAGTATTTCTTTCTAAGACTTAGTAATTTTAGTTATATTTAATAAAGTTATTTTTTGATTTGTCATATCTTTGTATCATTGTAAATAATCCAAAAACCTTTTATCACATAGATAACAAAACTCACCTCGCAGACGCAGGCAACTTGCTCCTGAGTGAATCCGAAGCTGGGAAGAGGGCTGTGTCTGCCGGCGGTGCCGCCGCCGTTCGGGGGTGGGCTATACGGAGGCGTGGAATTTGTCACGGAAACAGAGTTTTGTCCACCCACATAACCGATGCCTGTAGACAACATCTTTCTCTCATGCGCTCCTGCATGCGAAAACGTTTGCCATATCACGAGATTCCCACGAATTCGAATCGAGGGGTAGGATTAACCTGAAACACAAAAGTAAAAGTCTCAAATATGATATTTTCCTTTTATAAAAAGTAATTTCTATTTCTAAAATTTGCTGATTTATATTTTTAAACTTTTTTGTTTTTAGTGATTAAATCTTGGTACCTAGGTTTTCCCGTAGAGGTCCCTATTAGGGACTTCCTTACATGAAGGTGGTTATGCCACCTTCATGGTAGTAGCTGTCGTCTATAATAGTAGGTTTATTATTGGTATTCATATGTTTGTAAACAGTTGACAAAATTATCGTCTTGTAATGATCTATTTGATTCAGCGATATTGAGATGTAAACGTTGACCTACACCTGTGCTTAGTTGACTACGAAAAAGCTTTCGATAAAGTAAGATATGAAAAACTAAGATCGAATACTTATGAACAAGCGCATTGACAGTAAAATCATAAATATAGTGCAAACATTATATTAGAAGCAAAGTGCCATAGTTCAAATTGATAGCAACGAGTATAGAGGATCTACAACATCTTATCGACAGCTTGAGTATAAATAGTGCTGAGATGGGAATTACTATAAACGCTAAAAAAAACGAAGTACATGTTAATTAAAAAAACATCACAAAATATACATCTTCTATTGACAATCAATGGTAACGTAATAGAACAAATAGAAAAATATCAGTACTTGAGAACTTTGATAAACGAAACCAATGATCATACTGTAGAAATAAACAGGCGAATAGAGAATGCCAGATCAGTATATATACGAATGAAGCCACTTCTAACGTGCAAAAATCTAAATTTGGAAATCAGACTATGTACTATTCGCTTCTTCTTCATGTACCATGTCCTTTCAGAACGTTGGTTACCATCATAGCTATTTTAATTTTATTCACTGCCACCCTAAATAGCATGCTTGTATCTACACCATACCAATCTCGCAAGTTCTTCAACCATGAGGTTCTTCTTCGTCCTGGACTGCGTTTGCCTGCTATTTTTCCTTGCATGATATTTTGTAGCAATCTATATTTGGGACCTCTCATTACATGTCCGAAATATTCCAGCTTTCTCTGCTTGATGCTTTTTATGATCTCAGTAGTCTTGCTGAGACGTTCAAGTATTGTGGAGTTACGTGGAGTTACTATTCGCTGTTATATATTTTCAATATTATTATATGGAGCAGAGACTTAGACATTAAAAAAAATGCAATGTAAAAAGAATCGAGGCTTTCAACTCTGGTTATACCGCAGAGTATTAAAAATATCACGGACTGATAGAATTACAAATAAAGAAGTACTGGAGAGGGTTGGTAAAGAAACAGAACTAATCACCACTATACAAACCGGAATACCTCGGTCACGTGATGAGGGGTCTAAAATATGAAATTTTGAGACTCATCATACAAGAATATTCAAGGAAGAAGATCTGTTGGCCGAAAGCAGAACTCATGGTTAAAGATTCTACGTAATTAGTATCAATGCAGATCGATTGATTTGTTTAGAGTAGCAAGTTCTAAAATAAAAATAGCCATTATGATTGCCAACCTCCGTAGAGAGACGGCACTCTAAGAAGAATAATGATCTACCAAGCAGTATCAATTTGACGTCAGAAGAAGTAGTAGAGTGGATAGAATGTGATCTGGAGGGTTAGAAATTGCAAGTCACAATAAAGTTGTTACCAATTTAAGTACCATGGCAGAAGAAGATATATGTGATGACGATCGGTTTTCATTTAATATTAGAAAACAAGCCGTGAGGCATCTAGAAAATGAAATAATGATTCAAGTGCTAAAAAACGAAAGAATGATTTATTACATACATATTATTTTCGGTCCAAATGGTCTTCTGGGCTTGTACCTTAAAAAAACTGATTGTTTTAAGGAGTTACGGATATTTCTCTTATATGTTTCTGTTTCATTCGCTTAACCGTCGCATTCTTGGTGCAAACTGTGGCGGTAATTAGTGTGAAGTTACACGGTATGTAAAATTATAGGAAAAAGGGACCATCCAAAACATCTGATTTAAACAATCAAAAGTAAGATGAAGCCAAAGAATAACTGATTTGAACAATCAAAAATAAGATGCAGCCAAGGAACAACTAATTTGAACAATCAAAACTAAGATAATCAATCAAGGGCTAAAGTAAGGTTGCGGTATATACAAACTACATATTTACAAATATATACAAACTTAGTCATAGTCATACCACTGTAGAAACGTAAACACTAAATGAAATTAATAATGTTTAATAGCTGTATTTATTTTATCAGTAGATAGCCGTTTAGAAGAGATCGTCATTTTCTTATCGCAAATATCATATTTCAGTTTTTGTTTAGCTTTTATATTGCCATATATAAAAATAAATATTGCACATGTCAAGTCTGTTTCATCTGCGTTTAATTTGCGGGAACTGAGAACTGTTAACTATTATTAAAGCATTTTACATGACTGTTATACAACAGTCATCAAAAATATAATATCAACATTTAAAACCAAATATTTCAATAACTGTCAGAATATCATAATTAATATCGGGTCAGATAAATTTTAGAAATGTTCAAGCACGCGTTTTGAATCACCTTATATATTAATTATTTACAAAATGTTAAGTTTCATTAAAATAAACATTAAAAAAATTATTGAATTCCGTAATAATATACAAGGAATAAGGAAGTTTTAGTTAATTTTCGGTATAACCAGAAATGCAATGCAAACCCCCTTATGTAAATTTTCTAACTTATTTTCAAATTTTTCAAAAACGTTTAACTAGAACTTTTAAAAAAATACTCTGTATAACAAACACACTTAAAGTAGGTTCTCAATATATATAATGGCACCAGTGAGAAGCGGAATCCATTTGCTACATTCGCATTTTGCTTTTACTACAAAGGAAATCAATAATTCGTAAATATTTCTATTAAAACAAGGGGCTGAGGAAACTTTAGTTGAATAAAATAGAACATAAGAGATGATTAGTAGAAGTGAAGAAGATAGGAACAAATGATTATCATCTATGTAAAACATTCAACGAATATATTATGATTTAGATTTGCCAAAATCTTATTAAAACAAGAACAGTAAGATGAGACCATTCCAATTGTTTTCTGGTTATTTTACTTATTATGGATTCTTCACCTAGTTGTTTTCTTATTTGATAATTTCAGATTCAGTATTTCCTGGTGTTATAGAGAAGACCGGAGGAATTTAGAGCACGGGAAATTTTGAGCATCAGCATGAGTATCTTGGCAACACGGTATAAGTATTTCAACATTCAACACAGCGCGCAGTCTCATATTTGCTAGCCGACTACATCACATGTTTGTAATATTTACTGCATTGGTAGTGTTGGTTTAGAAAAGGTCGCCGATTCTTTGTTTTTCAAGACGTTTATGTAATTTTCGAATAATCTTATTCAGGGATTCTACAGTATTCACTGCGTTCCCTCGCTCAACCGTTTCGATCTCTCTCTGTTGTCCTATTCTCCATCGTTTAGGCGTCTCTTCCTCCTTCCTAAGGAACTCCATTCAGTTATTCTCTTTATCCATCTGCTGTTGCTAGTTCTTCTTACATGTCCATACGACTTTAGTCTTTTTTGTTTTATGTTAGTATGCCTGTTTCTATTGATGTTCTTTGCTTTATTTCGTCATTACTTCTTCTATCCATTCTTGTTAGTCTGCAGCATCTTCGCAGGCATTCCATCTCTGTTGCTACTATCTTACTGTTGTTTTTCTTATTTATAATCCAATTTTGAGCCCCATATGTCATAATCTTCTTCTTCTTCTCGTGCCACTCCTAGCGGAGATTGGAAATCACCATGGCCACTGCGACTTTGTTAGCAGCACGTCTAAAAAGTTCAATCGAACTACACCCGAACCATTCACGTAGATTACGAAGCCACGATAGTTTTTCTTCTTCCCACACTTCTTCTTTTGCCCTGCATGATGTTTCTTAAAAGTTCGTACTTTTCACCTCTCACAATGTGCCCCAAGTATTCCATCTTTCTAGTTTTTATCTCATTTAGAATTTCGCATCTTTTGTCTAAAGTTTGGAGTACTTGCGTGTTAGTGACGCGGTCCATCCATGATATTCTGAGAATGCGACTATAGCACCACATCTCGAAAGCTTCGATGTTTTTTATGGTCAACTGTTTTAGTGTCCAAGCCTCAACTCCATATAACAGGGTAGAAAAGACATAACACCGCAGCATTCGTATTCGTAACTTTATATTGATATCACGATTGCAAAAGAGTTTGCGCATTCTATTAAAGACTGATCTAGCGATTTTTATTCTACATCTAATCTCTTTTGTTTGATCAGTATCGTCTGTGATCCAAGCACCTAGATATTTATAACAGGGCACACGCTCAATCGTTGTATTGTCTATTACAAAATTAGCTCTGATGTTCTTTGATTTCGTGTTACCATAAATTTAGTTTCAAATTAATTTTCAAGCCGTAACTGTTACAGTATATATTGACACTTTGAACAAGATGTTGTAGTTCTACTAGCGTTCCCGTTAGGAGAACTGTATCGTCAGCATACCTTATATTGTTGATCGTCTCACCATTTATTATCAGACCAAGATCTTCTTCCTCGAGTGCTTGTTCACAGATAGCTTCACTATACAGATTAAATAAAAGTGGCGATAAGATACATCCCTGCCGGACTCCTCGACGGATTTGAATTTCTTCTGTTAGTCTGCCCTCAACCTTGACATTTGCTGTTTGATTCCAATATAGATTGCATATAATTCGAATATCTCGGCTGTCTATATTTTTCTTTAGTAGAACTTGTCTTAGTGGTTCACTTTGTCAAAGGCCTTTTCGAAATCAATAAAGCAGGCGTAAATTTCTTGGTTCATGTCGAAGCATCTCTGTGAGAGAACGTTCATTGCAAACAGAGCCTCCCTTGTACCCAGCCCTTTTCTGAATCCCACTGAGAGTTACTGATGTCTACGTCTAATTTTCTATAGATCCTATTATGGATTATTTTTAAGATCAGTTTTAGAGCAAGACTCATCAAAGCTATCGTAC